AACTACGATTTCAGCTGTTATTTAATGGTTCACAAAGCAAACAGACTACAGTGAAAGGCATACGTGTATAGTGTGTAAGTTTACTCACAAAACAAATAACAGTAAACTATCCCAAGAAAGGAAACAGAAAGGTTGTAACTACACCCAGAGAAAATGAAGGCACATGAGGCAGAGAATAGGTCATGTGCAAGTCCAGTTCCCTCTGACCTCAGTGAGATGGTCAGCGACTGACATCACTCTTCCAGCCACAAAGAATGTCAGGCTCTCTGAAAAATATTTTTCAAAGCCCCAAGGAAACTTAAGCAGACTGCAGTTTTTTTTTCCAGTTTATGAAAATTGGATTCCTATAAAAGGAAAATGGACCATTTTTACTGCAACAAAAGCTGATTTGTAAAAGCTGGAAGCAGTTTAAGAATACTCTCAACACGAGGTTCTTGTTAGTCCCGAAAAGTAAGAGTTATAAGAAAAAAAGCTCCAAAAACAGGGCATGAATACGCAGTACATAACAGGGAAAAAAACCCACCGTGCCTTGCTCCCATTATTTTTAATTAGCTTCAATACCAAGTCCCACTTTACCCCCAACACCAGTTCAGACTTGGGAGACTTGCATTTGACACTGTGATTGGCAACCCCACAGCTAATGCCTGGAGCCCTAATGCATTTTGCATTAGCTCTAAATGTCGGGAAATCCTGGCGCCAAGAGGTTCAAACCAATAGTGACACATGTCTAAAGCCAAGGATTTGCTGTCCAACTGCCAGTATCTATTTTATCAAACGTCTGGTCTCTCTTGTAGAATGAGATAGATGAGTTTAACAGCTTTCACTGTTTCCAATTAAACTGCCTCACCATATTACCAAGAGGCCGGCACTCAGACGATGAAGCACCTTTGACTTGGACTTTAGGAAAAACAACAATATAGATTAGGTTTTAACACTTCTTTCAATTTGGCTTAGTTTCTCAGATTTTAATACATATATATTTACTTACTAAACATTATTTGAGGAAAAAAAGAAACATCTTTCTTTGAACAATCTAAATAATATATGTCATACAAATTAGTAATTTATTCTTTACCTAGCAGTCACTTGGGATCAACTACTTTACAGGAAACTACTCAAAAGAACTGTTCTGATAACAAAGCCTGAAAAGCCACAGAAGGTGACTGGCAGGTGGCACTTCCCACTGCTGTAATCTGTCTCATGCACCGTCCTACATACCATTGGCAATCATTACAAACAACGCTGGTGATACATTTTTACCTTCTATACATTCATCTTTTATTATTCTTTCCCTGGATAACTTTGCTGGGCCTCTTTATGAAAACAGTGATAAAGAAGCAGGGGAGAACTGTGAGTCCTCTGGGTATTTCCCTGACTAGGGGCAGCTTCACGGAGGCAACACTTGCCCCTTTGAAAGGTTTCTAGAGGCTCAGGGTTATCAGGGTTTAAATCCAATGAGGACAATATTTGTTCATTGCCAAAGTTCTTTTCAGTTCCAGGAGAGTTGAAAGTAAGAACTTCCGACAATTTCAGGTTAGTGAACTGGACATTTATTGTAATATATTCTTATTTAAAATTAGTTAATAAAATGGAAATTTTCATAATCAGCATTTTGAGTTGATGTTCTTTAATGAGTTTTAAAGTTTACCCACTGGGTATCAGAGACTGAAAGCTAGGCAGTAGTTCAAGATTTCAGATCAGGAACATTACACACCAAGATCACCATAGCAAAATACATGAATAATTATATAGCAATTTAATATGACTAAATGCTTCCAGAACTAAAATAAATATAACTAACTGAAGACTCATGGTTTGCTATTATCAACGGAGAACATAGTTATATTCAAAAGAGAATCCTATCTCGGAGGAGTTGTAGGGAGGAAGAGTGTGGTGAATGCAGTCAAAACACAATTCATGTACCTATGAAATTTTCAAAGAATAAATAATTATTACTAAAAAAGAATCTTAAATAGGTAAAAATATTTGAATAAGTGAAAAAAGTAAATTGTTCCAGAATAAAACTTATTTAACTAAGAATTATTTCAGAATAACTCCAACAGAATGTGTGAAAGATCCATGACAAGCCCTCTGCTCTCCTGGACACTGTCTCTCCACTGATAAAATGAGCAGCCCTTTCATTTGACTTACTAGCTACAAGAAACCCAAAGAAGTCAACAGTAAATTATTTCTTCGGCAAATAAAAAAGTGATATGCTTATAGGATTTGAAGCTTGTAAAGTTATAAAAGATGATATAAAAGACAACTTTTCTTAGGGAAAGTTCTTTTTTAAAGGATAAACAATTCTGAAATGAAGATAATTACAGCAAGTATATCACTCTTTTGATTATAAGGAGCCTTCAGTTCCTTTTCAAGGGTAAAGCATTTAAGCAGCTTTTTTAAGTCATAAAACAATGTATCACAGTAATTTTCAATAAAGAAGTCCTATATGAATTTCCCAGTCATTAAAATTTAAAATAAATAAAAAGCAAAATACTGAAATCTCTAAATATTAAACTTTATCATTAAGTATCTCTCATAACAGCTATGTTCTTTTATAAAACTATCATTAAAAAGATAGACTTTGTTGACTTGATCTCAAGATTTATTGACTTGTATATTCAATTATTTTCATATTGGAATTTATGAGGCAAGGTCTCTCCATATGACCCCAACTGGCCTAGGAGCTTTTTGCCTTATGTCTCTAAGAGCTGAGGTCATAGGGAATGTCCCACACTCCTGACATAGATTCAATATGTTTAATTTATTTAAAGTCATAAAATTACATAAAAAGGAAAACAAGTCTTATTTAAGAAAATAAGGCAAAATTAGTAGCAGTTTGCTTTATTTAGATTGGTACCATATATAGGATGATATTTACCATGAAACGTAAGGGGAAGAATAATTACAATGGCAGAACAATTAGGTTTATAAATGACATAAGCAATTTTTTTTGCTATAAATATTGAGATCATATGCCCAAATCATCTTTCTTCATTTTTGGTTTTATGGAAAACATTTGCATCATGAAATTGTTACATGATAGAGTTATAATTAAACAGTCTGTATTTAAATAGTTATAACTGGAATGTCAGACACCTCAGAAATAATCAAAAGTCAAATGTTTTAGTATTTAGCCATGGTTAGCTTTTATGTCTTGAGGCAAGGGATTTCTCGTTATGTCAATCCAGTACACTGACAAAATTATTTCTTGTGCTGTCACTGAGAAGCCACTACAGAACACCAAACCACATTTCATGAATATGTCACTTAAATAAGAGGCAGTAAGTGTAAATATAATTTAAAGAAAGCTTTGCTTGCATTTATGTAGAAAGGTAGTATTTCCACGCAGGGTAGCCATGCATATTAGGTCACCTCACTGGTTTCTTCAATTAGCTATGGTTTCTTTATCTATAAAATGGATATAATTCTTGCTTTAAAAATTGAGAGTGCAACTTAAAAATCTAAAGATAGATATTTATAAACTAGGTTGTATACAACAGATGATCAATAATATTTATATCAACTATTATAATTATAGTTGTATTAAAAAGTTCATTTCAACAGATCACTGACAGTTACAGCACATTGGTCAGGGGAAGAGAGATGAATGTATCACTTAAATAGATTTGGCCTTTGCTATTGGCTACCCTTCACAACTTCAAAGTAAGACGGTGTTACTGAAATACCACTTACTTATGTCATTGAACATGGAGAAATTGAGCCATTGCCCAACTAGACACTTCACTCGTATTGATTCCTATAGTGTTCATGGTGCTGGTAGGTACTCTTCACTCGTATTGATTCCTATAGTGTTCATGGTGCTGGTAGGTACTCTGCAGGCTACTGGGGTGGGGAGGGGAAGTAATCTTCAATACTACCTAGCTACTAACACTGCAACCTACAATAGCAACCTTTCTGCAAATCATACCGGTATAATAGAGGCACAAGTGTTATGGGAATGACTGCCACTTTTGATTAGATTTGAAGAGCATTCATGAGATGGAACCCAATACCTGACACTGATAAAGTAGCCAAGAAGCTGAGAACATATTATTCACGGCCTAGGAGAAAATCTACTATTATTATGCTAAAGAAATATAGTGATAAAATGACTCCTAATGATATAGATTAGTACATCATTCAACCTTTTCAGAGAAACTCCTTCTTTCAACAGATGGTAATTAACACAGAAACTCACAAATGGGCAGTGTACAGAGCATTTCACCCTAAATGGAAAGTATTTATCAACCTCCCCCTCTTAAGGCTCAGGGATCTTCTTGGAAGAAGAGGCACAAAGATTCGAAGAGCCATAGATGGTGGATGACTCCAAGGAAGCAAGCATCTTACAGATACAACAGGGCTGATGCACATATCAACTCAGAGAGACTGGGGCAGCATGTACAAGACCTGCACAGGCTCACAGCAGGCAAACAAACCCCAGTACCGCAAGGGGAAAGGGACTCCAAGTCCCACCTTTAATCAAGAAGCTACTTTCAGTTAACACCTGCTGGGCAAGGGGAAATTTCAGTTGACTATCTCAGTGTGAAATGTCTACAGTCAATGGACTTAGTCTACACTAAGCTGAGTGAAAGCTTAGTGATGGCATAAGGAGGAAAAAGTTGTCTACACACTTGGCAACAGTTTACAAGACAGCTAGGGAACAGAGAAACCCTGTCTTGATAAGAAAAAAAAAAGTCTTCTACTAATCGAAACAGAACTTCCATCAGACTAGTCTATGAATGTTAAACTATATGCTGTGTGCTCTCATATTTTGTTTTGGACACACCAGGAAACATCTGTGTTTGTTAGTTTGCAAACTACTATCTATTTCAAAGGATAGTGTATATTTTCCAAAGCAATGAAGCATTATTTTTAATAAATTAACTATCATTCTCCTGGAGAGATGGAAAGTTTTTACCCTCCTCTTAATGACAAATTGAAGCTTTTCAAAACAAGGGAGATGCCACGCCTGAGTTCTCTCTTGGAACATTGCTTACCTGGCAGGAAATGAGTGCTGCCCAACCACATCTCCATTCTGGAGGTGAAAATCATTGAAGAAATCTGGACTTATGGCTCCTTCAGCGGCAATCAGTCCATCTAGAAAGAGTCAAAGCAGTAATTAGTAAAACACATTCACAGGGAATAACATAGAAATTACCTTACTGAGCAACACATTAGAAACCTATTTATTTGGTCTGGAAAGAAAATGTCAGAATGACATGTGGTGCCCCTGGAGTATGCACAGAAGGCAACACATACATAAGTGGTCACAACATTTTATCATAATAATACAGCAGTCACTGAGTCCCTACTGTGTGCTAGGTAATACCAGTGCAGACAGGAATGAGGCAGACTGCCCTCAAGGGACTTACAGTATTGTGGGTAAGAAAAGACAGAAAAAGATAAAGGCATTAGGTGTGGTAGTCAGGGGGTCCAGGCTTAGGAAAGGTCAGGAATAAAGGTAGAGGAGGCATGAAACACCACAATACTTCAGCATGTTTCTCATTTTATATCCAGATAGCTTCATTTATATAGCACGATTTGGGAATACATCAAAAATAATTTGTGAATAAAAACTGACAATTTAAATGGCAAACATTAAAACACACATACAAATGTATTAAATTTTTAAATAAAAATGATTTTCACATCCTGTGCTTTTAAGTGGGTAGGCTATATAAAATGTAAATGCTTTTTGATGACTTGATCTTTATTAGGTATTAATTATTATATATCAGATTATCAGACATATTTGATCCCCTAAAGAGCTCTACACTGCTATTTTTTGAGAGCTCTGTTTTTGTTTATAAACATTTATTCTTTTAAATCTAAGCCTGTTAGTATTTTGAAAAAATAATTAAGAGTTATATTACTTTCTCAGTTGCCCTAGGACTCTAAATAATCTGCTATTTGTAGGATTATGTAGAGGAATAACAATCATCTGGGAATAAGAGATCTGTGTTATGGCTTTAGGCTGCCCTAAGCCTAGAACAAACCCTTAGTACAAGCCTTGGGATTAACTATTTGCAAGGCTCTGAGGACTTTGTGAGTCTCCTATGCAAGATTATTGAATGTAGAACTATTGGCCAAGTCATTGGCCAGACTAATGAAAAATATGGCAAACCACTGGCGTATTAGTTAGTTACCAAATGATTACTTCCTATATAACACTTGCATAATAATAGTGTCAACCATTTTGTGACAAATATACACAATTATAACAAATGATTTCCTTACAAAAGATTTTCTCTTTGGATACAACAAAATAATTTTTTATAAATAATACACAACAGTAAATATATGTGCCATGGAGTATTAACACAATAAAATATAGGAATTGGGTTAGAGTATCTTACTTGGGGAGAGGAGGAATTAAAAGTATAACGGATTTGAGTCTTCAAGTATCAGTAGGACTTAAATGACACCATTTGTTTGAGGGGACAGCGATATGGCTCAATGGGCAAAGGCACTTGCTGTAAGGCTGATGACCTGAGTTAGATCTGAGTAATGCACATGGTGAAAGAGAACCAAGTCTGGCAAGTTGTTCTTTGGCTTCTATACACATGCCATGACATACAAATAAACACATGTACAAAAGTTGTTTGACATAAAGGTGTATTCAAGGGAGATCCAACATATCACTCTGCAGCCATTTTATTTATTTGCATATTGTCTGTCTCCCCACCCTCCCTAGAATGCTAGCTCTAGAAGGGCAAAGACCCTGCCTTGTTCACTGACGCATCACTAGCACCTAGTAACTTCATTGTTAGCCTCTCAAAGTATTTGATTGAGAACAATGTCTCAATTCTTCTTCTTTGTGCTGCCAAGATGTCAACAGCTCTCCTACACTATGCCCTCCCCACCATGAAAGATCTCTGAAACTGTGAGCCAAAATAACCTCTTCCTCCACTGGAAACAAAACAAAATAAGTGTATTCAAAATTGCTCAAATGGTAAATTTAATTAATATAGTGAGCAAAAGAGCAAGCATAGTGTTTTGTATTTTTATTCAATTTTCCACACTAGTAACTTGGCATAAATCACATATTAATGGCTTTATTAATTAATTGTTGAATTGTTAGTGTATAAATGTGAAATATTCCTTTACACTGTGTGAATATATGTTCCTGTGGTTGGTTTAATAAAGAAGCTGACTGGCCAATAGCTGGACAGGTGGAGGCTAGGCAGGATTTGCAGATAAAAGGAGAGAGTGAAGAAGAGAAGGAGTCTCAGTGTTATAAGCCAGACTCGGAAAAAGCAACATGGGAAGTTCATAGATGATATAAACAAGCCTCAGGGCAGCACACAGATTAATAGAAATGAGTTAATTTAAGCTGTAAGAGCTGGCTGGAGATAAGCCTAAGCTATTGGCTGAACATCTATAATTAATAAGTCTCTGTGTGGTTATTTGGGGAGCAGCAGGCAGGATACAGCTGATCAGCGGTCTAGACAGAAAACTCTGCCTACATATATAACAGGTATTAATCTTACTCTGTAGACCAGGCTGGCCTCAAACTCAGAGATCTGCCTGCCTTTGCCTCCTGAGTGCCAGGATGTGTGCACCACCATTGCCTGGTTAGACTATTATCTTGAAAGTATTAGCAGGGTTTAGAAGGGAAACCTCTAAACCTTCTCAATAACCACCAAACATAATCCAACAGTTTAGAATTAAAACAAAACCATGGTAACATCAAACTGCTTAGATTAAATGAGAAAACAGAATAAAATTAATAAGTTATATATATTATATATATGCATACACACACTATATATATGTAGAACACAAAACAATGAGTGTCACATTGTTAAGCAGAAGTCAGAAATCCTGAAGATGTTTAACTTACACATCCTAGAAAGTAGGAAACTTCTAATGGTTGTTAACTATCCTGGCTACACACACTTTAAATGATCACACCAAAAACAAACTTCGAAAAAACTGTTACTAGTTTTGTTTGGTATGTGTAGTCACTATTACCTGAAATTATTAAAGACTGCTTATGTACTAAAAGTGTGCTTATGAAGTTTGGGAACACGCTTGACTGCCAGACGAAAGTTCCTTTTTCTAGCACACAAATGAAGCGTGTGTTTTTGCTTTGGTTATCACCTTACCTGAGCTGTAGAAAAGGTCAGGCCTTTCAAGAATGTCCCCTTCATGGATATAAGGCTCAATTCGGTCATCACCATACAAGTACTGCTCACTCTCATCCATCTGACGACTCTCTACCATCTCCAACCACTGAGAGTTATGCCAGCGAAACTTCTCACTCTGAATTTTCTTTGCCCATTCTTCATCATACTCCTATTACACACAAATAGCAAGTGTTACTATATAAGTTTACTTGCTTGCTACTCAGAAATATTTTGCCATGACAAAACACTCTTGAGGACCTTCATTTGGGTCAGAGCGCATTAAAAAATACCTGTTCAGAACTGTGTTTCAGCCATAAAGAACAACAACCTTTCTGCCAAACAAGTCACTGGCATGTTACCAATCACGAGTGGAAAGGACAAAGGCTACAAGTCTAAATTTCACAAATTCTGATTTAAGTGTTTCCTAACTGCGGCCAGAACTTAGGTGAAAAAGCTAACTGTATTTCCGGTGGGGTCTGTGGCCCTGATCATTCATGGCAAGCATGACAGGTGACTAGCATGACCTCAGTCAGACAACACCAAGGGGAGGAAAACACTAAAATACTGCTTTTAACTGATGACAAGGTTTACTCTAGAAGATAAACACCACAGTTGAACTTAATTTCATTCTAACCATAAAATTAGTTATAATTCTTTAATGTTCATCTTGTTTTGATCATGAATTTCTGAGAAATGACTATGGTCTATTCACTGGCAGATATCTATAATACTTGATGCAGAGAAAATTCCTGGAGAATAGATAGGAAAGACAAACAAGCAAATGGTCAGAGGTTATGGAAGAACTTTATATCTATGTTTGTCTCATATCTTGCAGCTTTTTCATTTTAAATTAATTTTTTTACTGAGATATGCATTTCTGGGGTGGTATTGGTATTGTGATATAGTCATGTATTCTATAAACCTTAGATAAGGTTACACATATTTATCTCTTCAAACACTTCTTTTTATTTTTCTTTTATTTTTTTTGGTTCTGGTATACTATGTAGATCAAATTATCCTTGAACTTGTGGGAATTCTCCTGTATACACATCCTGGGTTGTAGGGTTACAGGTATAAGCCAACATATGTGACTCACTTATCACTTCTTTATGGCAAAAATATTTGCCTACCTTTCTTCTAGCTTTTTTAACTATACAGTACATTGTAGTTATGTGGTCATTCTACCATGCAATAACACACCAGGCTCTCCTGTTGTATACTAACTCAATACCCAGTGTTCACACCTTTTCTGAACTTTCTAAACCCTATATTCCATTCTACTTTCAAGTTCTATGAGGTAAAATTTTAAATTGCACATGGGTGGGATCATGTTGTTCTGTGCCTCTTCACTCATGTTATCACAGGACTATCGAGGTTTTTCCATAGTTTCCTTTTCAATATGTCTGAATAGCATGCTGTGTTTGAACTATGCTTTTGGTCTACTCATTAGCTGATGGGCAGTTCGGATGTTTCCATTAGTTTTGGTTATTATCTTGACCATGCCTTACAGTACTAACTTCATTTCTTTTGGATCTTACTTGCCAGTGAGAGTGTAGGGTAACCTGAGAAATCTATTTTAAGGGGTTTGAAGCTATGTATTAAAAATGCACAGGAGAAGTAAGAACAAAGACGGTGCTCAAAAAAGGGCTTGAAGCATTTCTCATCTTATCCCCACAGCCTGTCTTCCTCTGTCTCAGTTTCCAAGGCATTTGGTTAAAACTCACTAAATAGCTTGGGGTGTCCTGCAATGGCGTTGTCATACTGGCCATGAGAAGTAAGAGGCGAGCCAAGGAGACACTAGATCAAAGGCACTGCAATTTTCAGCCCAAGGTGAAGTACAAAATCACCATCGCAGAATAGAAGAATAAATCTGAAAATTTATCGTAAATATAATACCATCATTTTCTGATTAAAGTTGACTTACTTTTGAGTTTCATATTGTCAGTTAATCTCTTGGAAGTGTCAGATGTCAGATTGGGTGTTTTATATTGTACATTTGGAAAATATATAATATTTGCTTTCTACTGAGGGTGGTGAAGACTAATTTTGACTTCAATACTGCTAATGGCAATTTTATTATCAAATTATTAGGCTTTCTTTGTTTCTTTTTAAAAAGTTTTAGACCTACTTTTTATGTAGGTGAATGGCTTGCCTGCATGTATGTATGTGTACCACATGTGAACCTTGGAGGTCAAAAAATGGCATCAGATCCCTTGGAACTGGAGTTACAATCAGTTGTGATCCATCATGTGGGTGCTGGGAATCAAACCCTGGTCCTGGGCAAGAGCAGCCAGTGCTCCTAACCACTGAGCCATTTCTCCAGCCCCTATCCTCCTTTTCTAACAGATATCTATTAACAACTCTAATAGTGTCAATTTTTTCCTAATGTAATTTATTTAAAATTTAGAGTTATTCATAAACATTATATTTTATTTTTAAAATAATAAACATTTATTAGTCAACTGATAGAGCTTCAATATTGTCTGAAACTGATCTTTATCCCCTGTTATATCTACAATGAAACCTGTACTTAGATATCAACAATAAGCTATGCTTCTGTTGGTAATAACAATATGGTCACAATGACTAGAAATTATAGCAATTTATGTACTCATCTAGTCACTGATTACCTAGATTGTCTTGATAATTGAAAGGATACATGAAATATAGAAATCTTAAATTTAGAACGCTTGGTATATGTCAGACCCTACTGTTAAGTGACTCAAGTGACAGCATCTTGAAATAGGTACTATAATTATTTCTGTTTTACACATGCAAAAGACAAGACCCAGAATACTGCGGTAATATGCCTTGTTTTATAGCTAGTGAGGGCTATTGCCGAACTGCAGCCTTCTTGGAGTGTAGAGAAGTACTTAATAAGGATACATAGACATTTGTCAAGGCTGCTGTGCAGTGAAGTCAATTTTGAAGAGAATATAGTAACTGCTAAGATTTTGTGAATGAGTTGAATTGTTAACTAAGTAATATTAAGTTTGGTAAGTACATTATATCATATTGTATTTTTAATTATGGTCTTTCTGATACAGCTATACTTGAGAGAATATTAGGGAGGCAACTTAAAGATAAAACGCACAGAGAAGTTTTACTGGCTACAGATTTGGAGAACAATTTTAACTTGTTCTCCAAAAATTCAACGAAGACCTCAGCAATGGCTAGTTATATAGCACGGGTATTATGGACAGACTCTATGTCATTTAGCCAAAGGACCAACAGCCTTGAACCTGTTTAAAATGTATATGATATCAAGAGGAAACTGTTTAGTTCTATCAGGCTTTCTGTTCCATGCTGAGTTAAATTTATTTGCAAAAAGATAATATATTAGAAGGGACAGATCATTTACAAAGTTCTAATCACGTATTACTAGAGAAAGGGTGACTTGGCTTTTCTTTTTTCCTAAAAGAAGCATGAGTCACAAGTCATCCACAATCCAAGAGTACATCTTATAATACCAGAAATTCTATTAATGCCACATGAAATGCCAGAACTAAGTTACTGATTTTTTTTTTTATAAATAAGTGGCATCCTTAAAAAATAATAGTTGATTAGTAACTTATTTCATTTGGCAAAAAAACCTAAAACTAACCTTTAGTTTTGTTAAAAAAAACCTAAAAAATCTGATTGAATTATTTGAACAAAGAGATATTCAAGGGAAACACACAATCTGATTGTTTTATTAGAATTTAAGTTTCAAGCACATGAGCTGAGTTGTTGGTGTAAAAATAGTAATTGAAATTCAGTCATGACCCAGGGCATATGAACCCATGGGCTGAGCCATACCACAAAAAGCAAAACTGGCCTCCTAATAGAACTTGTGAAATGCACAGACATAGGTAAAAGGTACACCCCCTAATATAGCCATAATGTGTATTTACCCTAGTTATACTCTGAATAAATAAAAAACTTATTCAGTTATTATCTCATACCATTTTATAATATTTTATTATCCTAACTCAATAAAAAAATACATCTGGGCTGGCAAGCCAGCTCAAAAGGTGAAGACACTTGCATCAGTGCCTCATGACCCAAGTACAATCGCCAGAAGCCACACAGTGGGAGGAGAGAAACGACTGCTGTAAGTTATCCGCTGACTTCTGTGGGCACTGTGATGCATGTACACACACACACACACACACACACTCCACATGCACACTAAATATTCAAATTAAAAATATATCTAATAATTGTGAAGGCAGATGGCTCATCACAATGAGCCCCAAACCTTCAGCTTCCTTTTTACCCTATGTACTCTTCTTGTTTTTTCGAGACAGGGTTTTCTGTGTAGTTTTGGTGCCTGTCCTGGAGCTCACTCTGTAGACCAGGCTGGCCTCAAACTCACAGAGATCTGCCTGGCTCTGCCTCCTGAGTGCTGGGATTAAAGGCGTGTGCCACCACCACCTGGCACTACCCTATGTACTCTTAATGGTGTAAGTGTGTATGTGTTTTTTTCTGTCTGTCTTCATGTTCACATGTATGGGTGCATGGGTGTGTATGTGCATATGGAGGGTCAGCCTGAGTGTTGTTCTCATGTATCTACCTTGTTTTTGGAGACATGGTCACTCACTGGCCTAGAACTCAATGAGCAGTCTAGGCTGGCTCACCAGTGAGCCGCAGGGACCCTCCTGTCCCTGCCTACCCAGTGGTGGGATTATAGGTGCCACTGCCCTGCTTTTTAAAATATGGTTATTAGAGATTTGAAATCAGGTCTTCATGCCATCTGAGTCATCTCCCCATCCTTCTTCCTCAACAGTGTAACAACTAATGAACTTGAACCTAAAATTTGAGTTGTTAAAAAGAAGAGTGACAAGATTACAAACACAGAAACCATAAGTATCTATGAGTATTGATGGCTGACTTGAAATTGTTCTAATAAAATCATTTTTTTTAATGCAGTGAGCATATAATCTAGCACCAAATATGACAAGGTCATGCCATGCATTCCTTTAAAATCTTCCCCTCCTCTTTTTTTTTTTTAAAGATCAATTTATAACTGAATTGTTCTCTAGGCCTGATGCATGACAACATTAAAAGGCTAATATATATAGCAGCAATGGCAGAATATACTGTTATTTTTATTAAAAATAAGTGTCTTTGGGTTGGTGAGATGGCTCAACGAGCAAAAGGTGCTTGCAGTTCGGTCTGACGACCTGA